GGTCATGATTCCAGGGTTCTGGGATCGAGGCCCACACTGGGCTCCTTGCTCAGCAGGGAGCCTTCTCCCTCTGATTGCAGTTTGTTCCCCCTGCTTGTGCTCACATGCTCTCTGACAAATAAAAACCTCTTAAAAAACTCTTGTTTGTTCCTATAATTTTTTTTTTAAAGGATTTTATTTGACAGAAAGAGGCACAGCAAGAGAGGGGAACACAAGCAGGCCAAGTGGGAGAGGGAAAAGCAGGCTTCCTGTGGAGCAGGGAGCCCGATGCGGGACTTATCCCAGGACCCTGAGATCATGACCTGAACTGAAGGCAGACGCTTAACGACTAAGCCACCCAGGCGCCCGTTCCTATAATTTTTACACTTGATCTTAGCCAAAAGGCCGAGAAGCGACTGTTCCTATAATTTTTAATCAGAAGGTTTGTCTTCCAATAAAAGAAAATCTAAACGTAAAAGTTTTTTTAACATTGTCAAATCCTAAATCAAACACTATGCACTACATGGAATAGTTATGATTCCCAAAATAAATGTCATGTTTTGACAACAGAACAGTGACAAAAATGACTCAGCAAAAAGTAATGGTGGTGATGGTAGTGGTAGCAGCTAACATTTAATAAGCATTTTACTCTATGCTAGGCACAGTAGCCAAGAAATTTATATGTACTTTCATTTAATCTTCACCGAAACCTTTTCAAGTTAGGTACCATTATTTTCCTTTCTGTAAGAGTAAAATAAAGCTGAGTATGAGTTGCCTAAGAGTATGTGCCATGTACTGGAACTACAATTAAAAAGGCACTTGTTTCTCTAACTTAGGGTATAATCAGTCCTTGATTACTTGTGACACTAAGGGGGAGCAGCATTGGTACAGATAACTGAAAACTACAGATACTCTAAGTTCCTTAGGAGACAAGGGAGAGCAACCTAGATGGGACAGAGAAGGGGCCATATTCTCCTGAAGGGCCCAACAGGTTAACAGATTTGTGGGAAAGGGTTTCCATACAAACAGATACAAATAATATATGATGTAACCGGACAAAATACTTTGTATCTTCAAACTGGAGCAGTTTTATTTTTAAACAACTTATTTTTAGAAATCCTACCCAAACTACATTTCAAAAAAAAAAAAAAAAAGGAAAGCAATTATTCCAAGAACCTCAGTGTAAAAGTAATATTGACTACTCAGAACATAAAAGCAGTTGTTCTCAAACTTCAGCACATATCAAATCACCTGGAAGACCTGTTAAAATATAAGATCACTGGTTCCACTTCAGGATTTTGATTCAATATAGGATATAGGAATTTGCACTTTTAACAAATTCTCAGGTAATGCAGATGCTCCTGGAACAGGGAACATTCTGAGAACCACTGCTCTAAACCAAAGTTCAAAAATTACAGTACCTGCAAAGAGAATGCTGTTAATGTTCTCATGTATAGTTCTATAACCTAAACCATGTGTCCTCTATTCCTCTGACGACACTGCCTATAAAATTAAACTGTGGTGTAAAACATTTATCTTTCAAAAGAAAAAAAGAGTTGAATGACTACGTCTTATTTCACTGCATACCCTTATGCTGCTCTTACACCAAAGATCTATCTACTTGTTTGTAAATAATACTTAAATGTGTTTAAAAACAAATTCTGGTTCTTTTTTTTTGACAAGAGTAACTCACTTGAAATCTGTAAAGTCTTTAACTACTCAAGGTGTTAAGTGAAAGATGGCCAGCCCTATCCAACAAATACTAACTGAGGCAATACTAAGCCTTCAGATGAGAGAGCAGGAAGGAAGACAACCACCTGAGCCTTAATATTCCTTGCCAACCTTCTGGGCTTGTCTTAATAAGAACAAAAAATGTGATGCAGACTTTAAACCCCTATAAATCAGCTAGAACTCCCCAAAGTGCTAAACCCATCACCTAATGACCTAACCTCATTGTGAGTGTTACAGGATCAAGGGGCAATTGTATGTCAAATTGTGAGACAACATGGATTCTTAAATCAAACTTCCATGTTTAGGAAGAATCACATAAACTACCCTGATATTCTTGATGAATGTAAGGTTCTAGAATACACAAATTAAAGAGTACAGCATATGAGCCCCACCATAAAACACAATCAGAAGAGAATTTTAATTGAGCTCTTCAGACCATGACTATTACCAAATATAAACAATCAAAAAATAAAGCATAGATAAAATGCAAAACACTTGGCCAGGTTCATTTGTTAGCTGTCTTATAACACATCAGCCAAAACAAAAATACTTATTTCTTAAAAGTTACAGACCTGTGGTATTCATCATTAAATAATTCAAACCTTGAAATCCTTAAATAGACTACTACTATAGTTCCTAAGGGTGAACAGCTGTTAGCAAACAGCATAAAAGAACAGCACTCACTATAAAACATTAAATCACTGTCTTACACCTTAATCTTACACAATGTTTTATGTCAGTAATGTCTCAAAACCAAACCAAACACTGGTGCTCACAGGTATAATTGTAATGGCACTTCATACCTCCTAAAGATATTACTATGTAGTCAAGGTAGCTAGAAAGTGTCCAACAACCACTGACACAGAAATTTGGATATAAAATCCTTATAGAGTTGGTTTTAAAAGCAAGATTTGATCTGTACAAGTAGAAAATATTAAGGAAGCTTTACATGTAGGAACAAAAAACCTGAAAAACTCATTACTGAAATGTAAATAATCTAATTTGTATTCAATGGAAATGCAGACTATATATACGCATACACAAATATCAGAAAATATGTGTACTTATGACATTGATACAGGATTAAATTTTTCTTGTAAACGTCCTGCTTGAAATGTCAATTAGGAAAAAATACATTTGGATGATCATATACCAAAAAAAAAAAAAAGATTCTAGTCTTAAGCTTCTGAGGCTCCTGCAGTTTCCCAGGAATTAAGTTCTTTACTATAGCACTTCAGTGTTTTTGTTATTTTGGTATGTACTGTGAAAAGGGGGAGGGTGGCATTTATCAATTCTATCTGGCCCATGTATTTATAGCCTCAAACTCATAAGTACTTTGGGAAATGCTGCCACTGACAACCACTTGAGAAGTGTTATTACCTTGATATTTCATTACTAAACCAGATGTGTGTGTCTGTGTGTCTACACATACATAAATGTATATGTGTGTGTATATATATATATGTATATACATACATACATACATATATAAGTATGTATATATATACATAAATATACATAAATCTATTAACAAAGAAACCACAAAAATGTATATTATGTATATTATTCATTATTATTATTCATTAGATTTCTAACTCAAAAGCTCCATACCATGGACTACATTTTTCATGCTCATTATAAAAACACAAAACATTAGGGGCACCTGGGTAGCTCAGTCAGTTGAGCAGCTGACTCGATTTCAGCTCAGGTCATGATCTCAGGGTCCTGGGACTGAGCCCTCTGATGGGTCCCATAATAGGCTCCATACTCAGCAGGGAGTTTGCTTGAGGATTCTATCCTTCTCCCTCTGCCCCTACTCACTCCCACCACTGTGTACACACACACACACTCTCTTTCTCTCTCTCAATAAATCAATCTTGAAAAAAAAAATACAACAAACTAAAACATGTAACACTGTGTAACTTGATAGATGTACAAACAAGAGATTGACAATCACCACCACACTTCTCTGAGTCTACTGAAGTGGAAATATCACCTATGTAGGATACTTCCTGTATACAGGGAAAGACCAGGAGGTAGTAGTATAGTTTTATAAACTATTTTATTGGAAGGGTCTGAACTATGAACAAGATCCTCAAGTGTACTTGAGAACATACACTAAATGCAAAACAGAAAGTTACACTTCTGAGAGATCTGAAGTTGGCTATGTGTCAGTATCGGTCTTAAGTATTTCAAAAGTTTGACTTTTTATATGTATGACATTAAAATATATCATGTATACCCTTAAAAATATAGTACTGCTTAATTATATACCCCTTGCAAAATATTGTGATCTTAAAACTGTGTTTCCTCTGGTATTACCCAATTCAAAAGCTTCATTTGACAGATGAAACAGGATGCTTGGAAAAGGCTGTTCCGGGGGTGCCTGGGTGACTCAGTTGGTTAAACCTTCAGCTAGGGTTATGATCCTGGAGTCCTGGGATCAAGTCCCACATCAGGCTCCCAGCTCTGCAGGAAGTCTGCTTTCCCCCCTCATCCTCTCACTGTCACTCTCTCTCTATCAAATAAATAAAATCTTAAAAAAAAAAAAAAAAGGAAAAGGCTGTTTTGCCCCACTGCTATATAGTTGTCAATTTGATTAAATTCAATTTATCAAATTTCCTGTCTTCTATCCCTAACACTGCACTATTAGCTGTTACCTTTCTCCTGCCTCTTACCTTCCCCTCATTTCAGCTCTACCACAACCACTGTATTCAGTGCACTCTACCTCTTAACCTTTCTTTCGTCTTTCTCTCCAGGTCCCCTTTCCCTTTTTTGTCCCTCTTCATTGATCATTGACTTTTTCTCTTCCTTCACCCTAGGAGCATTCTTAAACAAGTTGAATAAAATTTAATTAATTTTACTAATCAGTGTAATTTACAAATAGTCCAGTTATTTAGAATTAGAATTTTAAGGTTAACTTTTATTATTTACTTTTACTATTTTCTTACTTATTCTAAAGCACTAAAACATGTATTAATTTGAAGAAGCCTCTAATTACTATCAAGGAACAGGTATCAGATCAAATCTAAATACTTGGGATATTGACTCTCTTCATGCTTGCATCTGTATTCCAGCTTATACACAACCATCTTGGGGATAACCAGGAAATCAAAATGTTGGAAGATACTATCTAAACAAAAATCAGCATAAGTTTTAAAGCCTAAAGTCTGCTGAACAGTTTTCTTCACTATGCAACCTATTTAGGTATTCATCATCAAACAACTAGAACCGCAAAATTTTTGCCAATGTATAATTTAATTAAATGAAGGGAAAAAAGAAAATCTCACCCCCTATGGTACTCTCTTGAAATTCATGAAATTGGCCCTTCACAAAACGAAGCACTAGGCTTGATTTCCCAACAGCAGACTCTCCCAGAAGTACTAGTTTGAACTGGCATATTTTATTTCCAGTATTTGGCCCGTTGGGTCTTGTTGCTCCTCGATTAGCCATGTCCAAATTTGAAAGAAGTCCCTAATTTCAGTCTCTTAAATGAACTTCCAGGATGCAAGGTGTCAATTTTTTTCTTTCTAGATGTAGAGAAACCTGTAAAGAAAAATTAAATACACAAATCAGGAAACAAAACAAATCTAATGTTAATCACTTCAGCAAATTTTGCCTGTACCATATTATCGCATGATAATCTTAACATCGACATGACATTGAATGTCATTTAAATTCACTACCTTATAAAGGTATGAGATTTAAGCCTAAAATCCTACTGTAATTTTCAGAATTTAAAAAAAAATTCTATAGCTAATCTTTATTAAAGACTTAACTTTATGCCAGGTAGTTAAGTACTTAACATAGTCACTCAACAATCCTATAGATACTACAACCATTAAAAATGAGGAAACAGGCACAGAGAGGTTCAGTAACTTGATTGAGGTCACACAGTTACTGTGACAGAGTTGTGACAAAGCCATGAAAGAGCTGTTTCAAACTCAGTCAACCTGAGAGATGATTCAAGAGTTTAGGTTCTGGAACCAGACTAGTTGGACTAGAATAGTTTTAGGGAAAATGAAGTTCGTAAATGGAAAGTTCTTACAAAAGATCCTAGAACACAGTTAAGAGCTCAATAAATGTTGGCTATTATTACGGGAAGGCCCCTGTAAAATTATACATTTTTTTTGTTTAACTAATGGTAAATTGGAGCAACAAGTATTATAAGGCTCTCAGGTTTGTGTGTCCAGTGGCTTAAAATTGTTTCATGTGCTCAAGTACGTTATACATGGAAGTGTTAACAGAGGTCCTCTATGTGGTAATCTTATTAGTGTCTTACTTTGTTAGGCTATTCTGTAGTTTGGGCCTAACAATTAAATATGTCACTATTTTCTATTTAACACATCTAGAAAAACCTAGCCTAAATGGCAACTTCTCTTATCATCTAATGCTAATTTTCAATCTCAAAGGAATAAGGGAACATTATTCCAATCTACTCACAAATCACAATGGTTTCCTCCCATCTTTAGCTACAATCTGATCATGTGCTCCTTAAACGTGATGATTCCCTCCTTAAAATAACTGTTATATTTCATTTAGGTACCTCATGTAAGAAATTTGCCTTCCCCATGAAATGAGTTTAGATAAAAATCCCTTTGGACAATGAATTCATTAATAAATATCCAAGCGATCTTACACTGGAGACAACAAAATCACCACTGACTTACCTAAACAGCAGCTTTGCAGAGTCCTTTTAGTAATGCATACCGAACTATTCACACTTGAAATGATATGTCTGAGTTGCTTCCAAACAGTAGGGATGTAAATAAAACATGACTGGCCACAAAATAATTTAAATTGGCGATGGGTTCACTTTACTCTTCTCCCTATTTCTGTACATTTAAAAATTTTTCTGTAATAAAAAATGCTCCGGGGAGCCTCGGTGGCTCAGCCATTAAGCTGCTGCCTTCTTCGCAGGTCATGATCCCAGGGTCCTGGAATCGAGCCCCCGCATTGGGCTGGTTGTTCAGCGGGAAGTCTGCTTCTCCCTCTCCCACTCCCCCTGCTTGTGTTCCCTCTCTTGTTGTTCACTCTCTCTGTCAATAAATAAATAAAATCTTTAAAAAAAGATTAAAAAATTTTTAAAAATGCTCCAATCCTCACATTGACAACCCCCCCCCCCCCCCCAAAACCTACCAGATTTGGGATCTAATCCTGGCTGGCTATACCAAAGTCTCCATTTCCATAATACCTAAGTTACATATCTACTGGAAAATTAGATGACAGAATCAATCAATCTACCTATCTATCCATCCAATACAGGGGCCAACACATAAAAGGGACTGAAAATTGGCAATTAAAGTGGCCCTCTAATGAAATAATGACCAAAAATCAACAGAATATCACGCAGAATGAACAAGTACCAACACAACGTCAGATACCTCAATACCAACAGAAACACTTCCCAATTGTTTCACTACCTCCAAAACAGCAAATTCAAATACTTGTCAAGGACAACATGCTCCAAATTTCCATGGTCCAAAATTTCAGGAAAAAAGACATTCCCATAAAAAAATTATGATTTTAGCTTTGCCTTCTAAGGGTTAAAGCTGTTGGACTATAACTCCCTCCAACACCCTCTAGCAGAAAATAAATGTAATTATAAAAGATACAGGTAGCCTAACATTAAGGTTAAAAATCATGCGCATTCACTTGTATTCACTACTGTTTTGTTTTGCAAAACAAAAATTCTGCATAAAATGCTTTTTAAATGTTTTGAAAATGAAGTGGTAGTCTATAAAGGTCTCTAGGTGTTCTTTAATGAAAATAGTATTAACAACAGCAGTTAACATTTACCGCACACTTATGTGCCAACCACTAGTCCATGAATTTTGCTTACAGCAACCCTATGAACTCATATTATCCCAATTTTACATTAAAAATAAAGTTTCTGAGCCCTCCTGAATTATCATAGTGCTGTACACGTGTTGTTTTTTTTTTTTTTCCTAACTGGTTATGACACTGACAAAAACCAAAATTTGTGAATTATGACGTTCATAGCGTCTAAAAGTCTAAAAGTCTCGGGAGGGTAACCAGCTTCTAAGGGAAGAGAACAGCGGGACAGGTTTCATAAGGTCTCTCTCTACCCACTGAGCGTGCTCAGCGGCCTAGCTGTCTTGAGTTCTTTAAAGTTGCGGTTCATCACCTTTCATAGATGAGACAGCCCCTAGGCAGACTATGTTGATGAGCCTCCTCCTCCCTCCATTACCGGTCTTTGGAAGTCGAAGGTAGGCGGAGCTCCCCAAATTCACACCTGCTGTAGGCCCCAGTTCCTCCTTGGAGAGCACCTGAGTAACTGATACCAAACTCCGGATGGCCCGAACAAGCAGGACCCGCCAGGCCCCCTGGCTATCTTTCCCATCCTGCTTCCCCCATCCTTGCCTGGCTTCGGCTGGGACCACCCCCTCCGACTGCCAGGACAGGGGCCAGACAGAACCGCGGCCTCCAGCACTCTTTCACGGCGCCATCTTGAGAAGGGAAGAGGGTGACACCCGTCGCTCCCTCAGTCAGTCCGCAAATCCCGATCCCCAAAGCTCTTTGAGGAATGAATCACCACGGCCGGCAGGACGAGATGCCCAGCTCGACAGCTCTGGTCCAGGACACTGGGGCCAGGTGAAGAAGAATGGGCGGGAGACATAGTGCCGGCAGAGCCGTGGACAGACTGAGAACAGCGCATAACCTGGGGTCCCGGCTGGCTCTTGGCAAGGGAGGGAAGGTTTGATTACCTGAGACCGCAGCACGCGGAGCCGCGGGGTTAGAGCCTCCCGGCAGCAAGTCCCAGGCGTAGCCCGAGAAGAGGCTGAAGCTGTGGCGGTGGCTTAAACGGTGGCGGCGCGTCTCCTCCTCAGGCCGCTCCCCTCAGACTGGACCGTGCGGGGATCGTGCCGTGGTGCCGCCCCCGTCCGGCTCCGTCTCCGCCTCTCTCCGCTCCGCCTTCCTCTTTCCTTTCTCCTCCTTCACCGCCGCCGGCGCTCGAGTTCCGACTAAATCTTCCTCCTCCTCCCTCCTCTGCCTCCTCCCTTCAAGCTAGCCGCCGGCTCCGCCGCGAACCAAAACACAAACACTCAAGTCCCAGCGCGGAAGCCACTTCCGCCGCTCGGCGCCGGCCTCGCCGCCACGTCGCTGCACGTAGCAAGCTACGCCCCATCGTCACTTCCGCGGTAGCCAACCCTCACCTCTCCGTCCGCTCCCCCGCCCCTTCTCAAAGCCCTCTCAGCTGGGGCCGGCTGGGGCGTGTCATGTGACCTCTGCGTTCAGCCAGGGGCGAGCCAGCCTGCTTCCTCCATCCCACGTCCCAGGCAAACGCGGCCCCGCCCTTGCAGGCGCCATTGTCATCTGGGTGGCGGTCCTGGGCTCCCAGCGGTAGGGGGTGGGGGAATTCTTTTATGGCCTTGATTTTGGGGAAGCTCGAGAACAGGGGTTTGTTGCTCCCTGCCCATGTGGGGCGGAGAAATTCCTTTTGTGAATGTGAGCTCACAGTCCCAATTAACCCTACCCTACAGCACCCCAACTGCGGTAACACGGGTTAGGGGGCTTTTGGGGGAGGACTTCTCTAGTCTGAGAGAGCCTCCCCAGCCCTCCGAATGTGTCCTGAGGGGAAGCCTGGGTCGTAAAGGTATTTACTCCTGCGAAGAGGATTAGAACGTCCCCATACCAAAAGTCTCTAGGCGAGAAAATCTTAAAATAATAAGCTTTTATTGCTTTTATTCAGTTTACCTGTTTGTGGGGGGGGGGATCTTAAAATAATAGCTTGCTTTTATTAAGGATTTTCCTTTGCGAATTACCCTATTTTACTTTTACACTATAAGGTAAGGCCTCACTCAAATGAATATCTGAGACTGATTGCCTTCCTACATTAGAGTATTAGCTCCCCAAAGTGGTCCTCAACACTGTGTAGCACAGTGCCTGGCAGCTGGGAGTCTCTAGTCATGGTTGTGTAATTAATGAGTGAGGCGTGCCTGTTTTAAAGGTAAAGAATTTGAAGCAAAGAGATGGTGTAACTTGTCCAAAATCACCACTGCTAGTGAAATTGTATTCTAATCTGCAAGCTGGGTCCTGAGTTCTCAGGATTCCAGTAAACAAACAAACAAACAAACCAAAAAAACCAAAACCTCAAAACATTATCCTCTGCTGCAGATGTACATAACACACTCTTCTTTGGTTAAATTTCATACAGTAGTTTCCGGCCAGGTATCTGAAATAAAACAAAATAATTTGTTTTGTAATTTGGTAGAATGTTAAATTGACTTTCTTTCAGGATAAGGGCTACTTTATGGTTTTGTATGTATAGCCCTGTTTTGAGAACATCAACATTGTCTAGGATGTATACTTAGGGTAAGGTATCCAGGGGATTCTCTGTCAACATTATGCAGCGAAGATGATTTGAACCCTTGAGCAGCCAGTCTTCTAGATCAACTCCCCAGTTACTAACCAGAGAGCATAATGTGTCATACCTAAATGGTATCTGTGGCACTTTATCCTCAAGAGCTTGTTCCAGTGTAATGTGTTAGTCATGTTAGTACCTCTTGGACAATCCAAGGAAGAATCAGGAAATAGGCTATGTCACATTAGTTGTGGCATGTTAACACTATATCCCAAACCAAACCTATTCCAGCCCAGATCTCCTCCTGCTTAGTTGACTGGTATTAACAGACTTCCAGGCACCTGGACTTGAAAGGGGAAAATCATCTTCCCTCTTCCCACTTTCCTTCATAAACCATTGTCCATTCTAATACCCAAATTTCTCTAATCCCCAAATATGCGATCTAATCCCAACACCTGTGATCTAATCCTAGCATTATGGTAGTATTCATATAAACTGAATTAATGCATAGTCCCATCTTTTCAATCATTTTTTGCATTTCAGCCAGTAACTCTCCTCAAAAATGTTCAATGATAATTCACTTGCAAAATAGAGTCCAAAGTTCTTTTTTAGGCCCAACCCACATTTCTGTCATTCTATTTCTATAGTTTCCCTCTCCCCAAACTCTTGCTTTGTACCCTAATCATACCAGTATACCCAGTGTTCCCAGAATGTTGCCTGTGTGTTCTCATCTTGGCATATTTAATCACTTTGTTCTCTCCCTCCCAGAACACCATTAATGTTCATCACTGCAGGTTTCACTTTCGCCAAGAAACCAAATGCTCTTGATCACATCTGAGAATATAGTTGACCCTTGAACAATGCAAGTGTTAGGGGAACCAACTCCCCACACAGTTGAACATCTGCATGTAATGTTTGATGCCCCCCCCACACCAAATTAAGTACTAGTAGCTTACAGTTGACTGGAAGCCTTACCAATAAAATATTTTATAAGTTATATTTATTACATATTCTACTCTTACAATAATACCTAACTTCCTCATTATTATTATTATTATTATTATTTTTGGTATTTCTGGGCAATATCATTTGCAAGTTTTTTTTCCAAAATTTTGCAGATCTCCAAAAAATCTTCTGATATATTGAAAAAAATCCACATATAAATGAACTTGCAAGTTCAAAACTGTGTTGTTCAAGGGTCAACTGTACTTCTACTGGATTTATCTTTTTCCAATAGTTTCAATACTTTGCTTTACTCTCTATGATGGTTCTAATATCTATCTGCTTTATTTTATAGTGCCTAGACTTTTCTCCTCACATGTTTATTCCCATTGGGGAATCTAAAACTCATTGGGGGAGTAGGCCCTGAGTAGGCCTCCTGACGCACTGCGCATGGACCCTACTTAAAATTCTGTCTCTCTCTCCTTCTCTGCTCTCTTCCAATAAATAAATAAATAAATAAATAAATAAATAAAATCAATCTTATTAGGATTTTAAAGTTCTTAAGGACCAAAACAACAATTTATTCATCATTTCAATTTCTCACAAAGGATCTTTGACAATAGGGACCTCAAAATATTTGTGAACTTAATTGCATTTAAAATGATGAGCATTTGCCTGAGGAAGTCCTCACAAATAACACATGGATAGTGTAATTTATAAATTGTTAGGAACACCCCATTTCATTGTTCTAGGATAATGCTTCCTCATTTATTTTTTCTACCAATTTTGTCTTTTAATTTACCCCCTTCATAAATACATTTCACAGTATTTTATAGTTTAGTCATAATGTTTGCCTTGAAGAGGGCTGCTCCCGTGGCTAGCACTTCTAAGTTCCACTGGCAATTTGGGAGAGACTGATATGCCACAGTACATCTTTGCACTTGGTGCTGCCACTCATGATATGCTTGTGTTTTTTTCCTCACCCCCAGGTAACTGAGGATAACAGATAATTGTATATTTTTAGTGTCAAATGTGGAATCCTATTTATTGATATAATTTGTTAAGGAAGCTACAAAGTGGATGGGCCTTAAATGAAGTTATAGACTTGAACACAGCCCTCAGTGCTTCCTTTGCTCTCAAATCTCTAAATACCCACTCACAAATTCCTAGTACTTTACATCTATCATCCCCAGCACTCTCACGTATCTGTATCTTCTACCTTCTCTTCCGGGAAATGTTTCCACCATTGTGTAGTTGAAGAATGAATTAAAGATGGTAATGACTGGTAATGTTCTTTTAACTGGGACTATCTGAGACAAACCTAAAGGTAATTCTAACTGAAGGAATTGCAGGCATAGTGGCAAGGCAATGAGAAAAAGACTATGGGAACTTGAGTTATTCATGTTTAAAAAGCAGGGCTTAAAGCAAGCCTCAGTTAAATAACTTCTAAGCCCACAAATTCTAAAGCAGCATCCCTTTATAGGAAAGTATCTTCTTCACTACACTTGTCAGTATGTGAAATGATCTTATTTATTGGTTTACTTGATGGTTATCCATCCCCACTAGAAAGTAAGTTCCAAGAGATAGGGATTGGCTTGTATTTCACAATATTCCTAGCACTGACATAAAGTAAGTACTTAATAGTTATTTGTAAAATGAAAGAATTGAATGAATGCTTATACATAGACATGCCTTCATTTATATGCTATCAAGTCATTTAAAATGCTTACGGGGAGAAGAATATTTATATTAATTATCTGAAAATTACAGTATACAAATTTTTTCAAATGTGAAATAATATCTCCTAAACATTTTTTTAAATTTTAAATTTTACAAGTCCTTCATAGTTTCTAAAAGACTGGAATCCTATAAATTCTGTTCTGATTCCAAGCTAGGTGCTGTATTTCCCATGTATGTGTAGAACATTACAAATATTCACCAAATAGACTTTCATTGACAAAGGGGGCTGCCTGGCTGGCTCAGTCTGAAGAGTATGCTACTCGACTTTGGGGTCGTGAGCTCAAGCCCCACCCTGGGTGAAGAGAATATGTAAATAAATGTAAAACCTGACAATTTAAAGAAAATCCCATGCTGGGGTGCCTGGGTGGCTCAGGCTGTTAAGCCTCTGCCTCAGGTCATGATCCGGAAGTCCTGGGATGGGTCCCTGCATAGGGCTTCCTACCCAGCAGAGAGTCTGCTTCTCCCTCTGTCCCTCACACTTCTCTCACACACACTCTCTCTCAAATAGATAAGATATTTAAAAAAAACACAAAAAAAACAAACAAAAAAAAAAACCCGTGCTTAAAACGAGTTTGAGTTTGCCACAGTATTTTAAAAAGTCAGTATGCATTATTGTGTAACACATCTCAAACTTTATTTAAATGTTATTTAAAGCCTGGTTATTAAAGTGTGAATGTTCTCAAAGACTTTGTTTCTGTACCGCAGGTACCAAATATAATAACAGAATTCAAGGTAGTTCTTTAGGCTAAAAGAACTACATGCAGTATGCATGTTCTTGCATAACGAAGGACCTGAAATTAATGGTCACCACCAGAAAAATGGCTACTTATTCTCTGTTCTCCAGTAAAATTAATAGGCAAATGGTCAGGAGGCGGCCCGTGGCTAAACCCATCCTAGGGAGAGTGAGTTGCTTGCAAAACGGAAGAGAAGTTGGTGAGCATTTTCTCTGGTGCCCAAGACCATATCCTTCAAGTTTTCTTGCCCCCCAGATCTAGTAAGGAAGGAGGAAGAAAAGAGAAGAGAGGGAGGGAAGGAGAGAAAGAAAAAGAGGGAGAGGAAGGAGAGGGAGAGAAA